CCTTCTAAGACTAATCTGCACTAGGTCTAATAGTAGACTATTAAGTAAGATTAATAGTTTACTTTATAATAGTAAAAGTATTCCTTCTTTCTATATTATAAGCTATTAGGTAGGCTACTATAGTCTTAAAAGAGCCCTTTTAAGTGTGCTTAAAACCTAAGTTTAGTACTTTTAAGCTAGGTAGTATCTTTTTTTATAAGTAAAAAAACTATTTTACTTTTAATATAAACTTTTTAACAGCAGCACTAATAAAGTAAGCTTTAAAAGTAAAAAACGCTTTTTCTTTACTTATTTTTAAAGTTTAAAACACTTATTACACCTCTATCTTTTTATTACTAGTAATAAAGTAAGTTTATAAAAGCTTAATTATTTTTTTTATATTTTTAAACTAAAAGTAATCTAATTTAGCTAAGTATCTAGGCTCTAGGTATTCCTTTGCAATACTAGCAGTGTGTCCCTATACTAGCGCTATGTGTGCACACTTACTCTAATAGTAATTTAAATTAATGTTAAGTTTATCTATAATAAAGGCTTACTATTATTTAAACATAAGTTCTTTACTATCTATAAAGTTCTTAATTTTAGGCATATATTTAGTAAGGTAGCTTTAAAAGTGCTTAAAAGTGCTTAAAAGGTTTTTTACTATTAGTGTAGTAAAAGTAAGTTAAGGCATTATTAAGACTAATAGTTTTTAATCTAGTTAGCTATTTAATTTATGCCTTTAATTAAATAACTTAGTTTTTAAAAGCTATACTGCTAAAGTTTAACTTTAAATTTAGTAAGTTTTTAGCTTTAAGTCTTATAAAAAAAAGTTTAGCTATTAAAGTTAGTAGTAGTTTAGTTATAAAAGTAAGCATCTTACCTTAGCTATAGCTAGAATAAGTTATAGTCTTTATAATAAGATTTAATAGTAGTTAAAAGTTAGGCATTAGTAGTTATCTTTAATTTTAATAAGCTATTAGTAGTCTTTAAGTTTTTACTTTAGCGCACTTTTTATAACTTTTCTAAAGGTAATCTTAATTATAGAAAATAAAAAGTTTTAAACTTAAAAGCTTTAGTTAATAAAAAGTTTCTAAGATTCTATTTATACTAACTAAATAATTTAATATAATAGTGTGTAAAAAATTATAACTTAAACTAAATTAAACACTTTTTAGAGTTAAACATAGTTAAATAAATAATTAATATAATATTATAATAAAGCTGTTACTAGCAAAAGCAAGTTTTCTAATATAATGTAACAGCGTAGGCAAGACAATAGGTCTAAATGCAGTATAAATCCACTTAGAGGCATATAGGAGTGCGTAGGGACTTAGAGACCTAGGAATACTAATAACACCTATAGGCCTTGTACGTAGGATATTAGAAAACTACTAAGCTAGCTACAGGGGCAAGGTGCAACTAAATACATAAGGGAATAGGGGTAACAGCAGGGGACTAGGTTAAGTCATGGTCAGGGCCGATACGGGGACCCTTCGGATAGGATCCGAGCGACCCGAGATGGAACGATTCGTAGAATCGTTACATATGCCTCTGAGTGGATTCCCACCGCATTCAGACCCATTGTCTTGCCTGTGCCGTTACAAAGATGGCGCTTACGTGCGACGGGTATATATACAATTCTGTACGCAATAATTAACTGTTGGTTAATTATTATGTAAGGACGGAGCTCTGTACCACTACGCTAATACAACTAAAAAGGTGCAAATAATTAACTAACTGTTAATTATTGCGTACAGAATAGTATATATACCCGTTGCACGTAAGCGCTATCTCGGCCTTACACTTATACTCTAAGCTTTAAAATAAAATGTAACACTTTTAAAGTAATATGCTATAGCTATATATAAATTTTTTAAAAAATAATAAATAACTAACATACTAAATAACTTTTATAAGCTAATTTTATAGCTAACTTATAAAAGCTAAGTAATAATAAAAAGTAAGAAATTATTAAGCATATACTTAAGCTATATACATAATAATTTTCCTTTTAGCTAGCAGCTATAGCTAATATAGCTAATTCTTTGCACACTAAGCATAATCTAAGCTATATTAGTATAAACTAGCTTAGTATGTGTCGCGTACAGCTATCCGTCTATATATATCCTTCTGCTGTGCTAGCTAGGAGGTTAACCTTTTAGCAAAACGCAACAGTTATAAGCCTAGTTTGCAGCGTAGTGTAGATAACGCTTTCTAAACATACTAAGCTAGTTTATGCTAATATAGCCTAGATTACACTTAGCGTGTAAAGAATTAGCTATATTAGCTATAAATGCTATTTAAAAGGAAAATCTTTATGTATATAGCTTAAGTATAGTTTTAATAATTACCTACTTTTTATTATTACCTAGCCTTTATAAGTTAGCTATAGAATTAGCTTGTAAAAGTTGTCTAGTGCTATAGTTATTTATTATCTTTTAAAAGACTTTGTATATAGCTACAGCATGTTTCTTTAAGAGTTTTATATTTTATATAAAAGCTTAGAGCGTAAGCTGTATCTAATGTTCTTTTAGCACGTCTAAGTAGTGTTATTAGAAATGCATTAGTATAAGAAGAGTAGTTTAGTAGAGTCTTAGTAAAAGTAAGCAACTTAGGTGTGTAAGCAACTTGCCTGTAAAGTACGTTACTTTTAATTCTAATAAGTTATTAGTAGTTTTTAAGTTTTTACTTTAGTGTACTTTTTATAACTTTTCTAAAAGTAATCTTAATTATAGAGAATAGAAAGTTCTAAACCTAAAGGCTTTAGTTAATAAAAGGTCTTTAAAATCTTATCTATAAACTAAATAGTTTAATATAATAGTGTGTAAGTATTATAACCTAAACTAAATTAGACACATCTTAAAGCTTAGATATAGTTAAATAAATAATTAGTATAATATTATAATAAAGCTGTTACTAGTAAAAGTAAGTTTTCTAATATAATGTAACAGCATAGGCAAGACAATAGGTCTAAATGCGGTAGGAATCCACTTAGAGGCATATAAGAGTGCGTGGGGACTTAGAACCTAGGAATTGCTATTAACACCTATACGTCTTGTACAAAGGATATTAGAAAACTACTAAGCTAGCTACAGGGGCAAGGTGCGACTAAATACATAGAGGAATAGGGGTACAGCAGGGGGCAGGGCAGAGTCGGGGCCAGGTTGAGTCAGGGTCGAGCCAGGGTCGGAGCCGATACGGGGACTCTTCGGATAGGTTCCGGGCGACCCGAGATGGAACGATTTGTGAGAATTGTTACACTGTCTATAGAATTTAGAGCGTCTAGTCTATCTAGATTAATTAGGTTCTTTAGGTTTTTGCTAAGAGCATATAACTAGAGCTAGATAAACTAAAGAGACTAGCTTATGTAGTCTTTAAGCTAGTACACTCTTATTAAGAGAAGAGCATCTTAATTAGCTATAACATAAGCTTTAAAAGTAATAAGAATAAGTAAAAATAAAAATTAAAGCTTCTAAACAGCTTTGCTAGCACTATAGTTATATAAAAAAATTATCCTAGGTTTTTAAAGCGCTAGGCCTATAACTATAGAGGATAAAATAGCCTAGTAGTAGCTGTTTAGAAGATTAGATAAAGTGACTCTACTATCTAGAAGAGTTAAAGACTCTCCTTATATACACTAAGCCTTAGAACATAATATCTCTAGATCTCGAGCCGCGCTCTAGGCTCTAAGCCCTAGCTAAGGCTCTTAGCATACGCGACAGCTTATTATAAAGCTTATTTTATTAAAGTTATATATGTTATTATTTTAAATGCTATTCTTAGCTTTAAATGACTTTAAAATTCTTATAAAAAGCTTTTTTATAGTTATACTTATAGTTATACTTTACTTTAAACTTTAGATAACACTTTATAAACATACTAAGCTAGTTTATACTAACATAGCCTAAATTATACTTAGCATGCAAAGAATTAGCTATATTAGCTATAGCTGCTAGCTATGAGAAAAATTATTATATATATATAGCTTAAGTATATGCTTAATAATTACTTACTTTTTATTATTACTTAGCTTTTATCAGTTAGCTATAAAATTAGCTTATAAAAGTTATTTAGTATGTTAGTTATTTATTATTTTTTAAAAGACTTTATATATAGCTATAGTATGTTACTTTAAAAGTGTTATGTTTTATTTAAAAGCCTAAAGTATAAGCTATATCTAATATTTTTTTAGCACATCTAAGTAGTGTTATTAGAAATGCATTAGTATAAAAAAAGTAGTTTAGTAGAGTCTTAGTAAAAGTAAGTAAATTAGGTGTATAAGCAACTTGCTTGTAAAGTATGTTATAAGTTTTTTATTTTAGAGTAATTAATTTAATGTTTTTTAAAATAAGTTAGTCATGCTAAGAGATTTTAGGTTACTTAATAGTAGACTACGTTAGTAACAATATTAATTAATCTAATTAGCATATATTAATATTAAAGACTACGCTAGAAGTAACAGCGTCATCCCTAGAGTATTCTTAACGTTGGAATTTTAATGAAACTGCCCCACTTAATTGCTTAGGCTTAGGCTTCATCTATGCGGCGTAGTTAATTTACCTGTGTTGCATACAAATTGTTAACAGCGTCTAACCACGAAGGAGAGGTTTCTGCAGGTGAGATCTAGACCTACGGACTTCGGAATCTTAAATGTTGGTAGTTAGCGGTTATGCAGCCTCCATGAAAGCCCTCTTAGTGCTAAGGTGCTTTGCCGCTATCGGTTTCACAGGTTGGCTCCACACATAGCATCTTCATCGCTAATTTTGCATGATCACATGCATTCTTATATGAAGAAGCAATTACTATAAGAAATCTTAAATTTTTTCATGTATTTTCTGATCAGTACTTCGGAATATAAGGCTCACAACAAGAGGAATCGCTTCAAGGAAAGTGGAGTGAAACTGCAAAAAGGCTACACTCTTATATGGAACAGTTGTGCATGCTGAATGGGTGTGGAATGGACGAAGGACCTCTAGGACTTGTTAAAACCCATTCACAACTTAGAAAATTCATTCCTCTTACCCCATCACGTCGAGTCCAGTTCCCTGGATGATCTGGGCATCCTGATTTAGTCAGCGGTTGTACTTGGCTAATGTTGTAACTGGCAGAGACTTACGAATGCCTCCTGTGGTACGGCAACAGTTGTGGTAGCATTCTTAACCATGTCTGCATTTGCGCCATACCAGAACTTCCCACTCGTGCGAGCGGCAATTTGGTCAGCCACGACGTTGGCGTACTCCAAAGTATCTACCCTAACCATACCGTCGTGCCCCTGCGCTCTACTAACGATGGTCTTTTCGATGGTCTTGTAGAGTGATGTCTCAGGGAGTTTAAGGTCATCAAAGTAGGTCTGACCGGCGGATTTCACCCCACCGGTCACAGCGCACAGAACGTCTACACCGAGTGGTTTGAGTTCTAGACGGAGAGTCTCTGCAACGATCTCTATGGATCTCTTCGATGCGGCGTAAGTTCCTTCAACAGTCAGCAATGTCGGTCGGCATAACATGTGTAGCATAACGGACCCATCCACGGTGTGTTCACATATCCGGAGATTGAAGTAATGAATGTAACCATTCCTTTCGCCTATGGGAGATTCAATTAGAGCTACCCTATAGAGTGATTGTCGGTGCCATCATACCTTGATCAGCAAAGGAGCAAAAGCTTGGGTAATCGCAAGTGGCGCAATGAAGTTGACTTCATAGAGCTTTCGAACTTCATCGAGGTCGTCATCGAGAACAGGCATGAAGTGGTTCCTCGCAGCATTATTGATGAGAACATCAAGCTTTCCGCTGGTTGCTTTGGTGACAGTCTCCAAAGCAGCCTGAACATCTGCCGCCTGAGTAGTGTCCAGCGTGATGGGGTGGACATTTGGTAGGCTTTGATGCCAAGTCATTTTTGCTGGGTTTCGAGCAGCGGCGAAAACGTGATAACCTCTTTCGTGTAGCACGGTACCTAGAGCGCTGCCGATTCCATTATCGCTGCAACCTGTGATGAGAACAGTTGGGGAAGGCATTATTGCGGGTGACAAAAGAAGGCAGGCTTCGAAGGCACTTGGAGTGCGAAAGGGGAGTTCACAAAGAATCGTCAGTAAACGGATCCGTCTGTAAGAATTGTGGGCTACATGCTTGCAATGTGAGATACCTACCCTTGTTTATATTAATTTGTTGCGCGGGTGTCCTCAACAATGATCATTGAAGATCTTACCGCAGATGATGCATGCAAGTTTAATAGAGGGGCTGCGGCAGCTTAATTTAGGACCTACGATTCACACCCGAAAAGTAACACTCCACCCGCCCCCTGCACCGCCACCCCCGCACTGCCACGCCCTAACCGCCCCAATCCAGAGGGGGGCCCCACCTCACCTTCTCACCAACCACCTCGCATTCTCTAATCTCTGCAACTATCTGTCTTGCTTTTATTAAATTTAACTTTTATAACATTGCATGCCTTTACTTCTAAGCCTCTTTATTTTTGCGCTTAAATTTTATAACGCTTTTTTACTTTTCTAGAAAGATTTGCTACCTTTTTTAGCTGCAGGCAATGTTGCGCTCCCTCTGCCTCTACCTCTCTTACTCTTGCAGCTACTTGCCTGCCTAGGAAGGCTACTACTTGCGCTAGAAGATTACTAGCAGTAAAGCGCTATCTATTCTTACAAGCCTATTATACATAATTCCTTACTACCTTTACTATTCTGTTGCCTAAGCTTAGAGAATGCAAGGTTTAGATATAAATGCTTAGGGGATAAAAGGCTTCTGCCTACCTTTACTTCCCCTTCTAAAAAAAAAGGGTGCTATAGAATAGCAGAAGCTTGTTTTTTTTAAGCTTTCTAGGCTTAGTTCTCTAAGCTTTTAGAGCTGTAAAAAAAGTAGCTATACTATTAGCCCTTACCTTTATATCTTTTTTTTTAAGCTTTACCTCTAGCTTTTTCTTTTTATAGCACTATAAATTCTAAGCCTTTTTCTATCTTTTAATGCAAGAATATTAGCTAACCTGCTTTTTTTTTTTAGTTGCATTCTTAGACTACTAGAGTCTGCTTAACCTTCTCTAGCTTTACACTTTTTTACTCTTCTTAGCTAGCTGTAGAACTTTATAAATTTTAGTGTCTTTACTCTATAATTTTAGAATTACTAAAAGAAGTAAGAAAATATTTTACTATAGCTTAAGCATAAGCATCCTAAGATTAATAAGGCTTAAGTAGTAAAAAAAAAAAATGTATATATAAATAAGTAAAGTAACTTACTACTAAAAGCAGTAAAAAAAACTATAAGTTTATAAACTTTTTTTATTATATTCCCTATAAATTCTAAGCTCTAGCTAACCTCTTCTTACAAATAATGCCCTTTAAGCTATAAGTACTATGTGTTACCTTTTCTTTTAAGCATTTAGGCTTTTCTTCTTAGATTTTTTAAAGTAATATACTACATAGCCTAGCTCTATACACTACCCTTACTATTTATTCTACTGCATACATTATATTCTCTAGCCTTTTTACTAGATTTTACTAACATAGACGTCTTTTAGCTTGTACTTCTTTATTAATTAAGCAAAAAAAAAGATACTTAAAAAAAGTGTTAAGCTTTTAGTATTACTATTCTACTATAGCACTATAAATTACATCTTCTTTTTACTACTATCTTATGTTTTATAGGCCCTTACTAGCTTTAAATAGGAAATTTTAGACTCTACTGCTACTTCTAATAGCATTAAAGTCTATAAGTGTGTGTTTTATAAGTGTAACTATGTTTTATGTTAGATTCCTTAAATTTTATAGGCTTTTTATAATTAAATATAGACATGTGCATAAGCCCCTTACTTTAAATACTTTAATAAAAAGTTAGGCCTTTATAATGTAAATTCTCTTCTTTTTATTAGATTTTTTAAGCCTGTACTAGGTTAATGCTATAAAGTGTAAGCCTTTATGCTAGGTAGATCCTGCTAGAGCTTTAAAGACGCACAGCTAGAATGCCTATTAGATGCTGCTAGCCTAGAGCTTAAGCATAGTAAATAAAATATTAAGAAGGTAAATCTAAATATCTCTAGCTTTATTTTTATGTTTTTTAAAAGTCTAAGGCTTATTTAACTATGTTATCTAAGTGTTTAACATGTGTAATAAAAAGTCTTCTACTCTTTTAGTTATTAGCAAAAAGCACATTAATAATAATAAAGTTTTTAATATAAATTTTTATTCTTTTTAAGCCTTAGACCTAATTTTGCTAACTTTTCTAAGCTTGCTTTTTTAAGGCCCTAGTAATAGCGTACAAGCTACACAGCAACAAGTTTAAGAATAGAGCAGGGGAAAAAAGTAAATAATAAAGGATAAAATAAAAGATATTTATTATAAATGCTAAGAGCTCTCTTTATAATATTTTTAAGCCTTTATGTTTATAAGTTACAGAAGAGTTAATAAGCGCATTTAATAAGCATTTATTATATTTTTATTAAAATTTATAATTTTTTTACTATAATTAAACTACACATTTAACTCTTTACTTTCCTCTCTCTTCTCTTTTTTATTTACTCTAAAAGTAGAAGAATTCTAGTGTTTTTTATAAAGTTTTAGTAGTTTTTTTAACTCTTTCTACTTTCTCTTACTAATATCCTCCTAGTTTACGCGAATAACATAGCCTAGATTTAGCGCTAGGCAGGAGTTAAAAGGAAGCAGCTTAGCTAGTAGAAATGTTAAAAAGAGACTATAAAAACATTAGACTTACTAAGCTTAAACTTACTTTACTTTTTTTTATTATAAAACACTTTTATTATACTTTTTTATCTTTTATAAATATTAAATATTTAAGCTTTAGAAGTTACAAAATAGTTTTAGAGAATTATAGTAAAAAAGCAGCCTACTACTTTTAGTTTAAAATAACTAAATAGCATCTTCTAAAACTATAATAAAAAAAGCTTATATTTACTAAAAAACTTTAGCCTAATATGCTTAACTTACTTACTACTTTTTTATAAGTTTTCTAGTTAATTTTAGCGTCCTACATAGATATATAAAAGAAACACCTAGAATTTGCAATAAAGTAGCTAAAAAACTTATAATAAAAAAGCCTTTTTTAATAGCCTATATTTTAAGCAAAGCAGCCTAATAATAATAATTAAATGCTAGGAAATTATAAGCAGTAGTATAACTTACATAGTATAGGCACCTACATAGCAGAATATCCTTACTCTCTATACTATTAGGGGCATTAGCACTGCTAGGGAGGCTTTATAGAATCTTAAGCAATTGTCTTATAATTCCTAGCATAGAAGACACTTACTGCGCCTAAGATCTTGCAGCTATAGCAGCGCAGCATAGCTGCACTACTCTACTAGAATTCTAATCTATATAATTACTAGTACTAATTAAATAACCTTAAAATGTTAGAAAGCTTAAGCCTTACCTAAGTTTCTCCTTAAGCATTTCTAGATTATAGGGCTTGTTAGTCTATCTTACCTTTTACACCTTACAGCGCCTTTTTACTTCTACCTTATTATAAGGCAACTTTAGATAACATAATAAGTTACTTTTTTTTTTTTATTTATTTCTAGCATTTACTCTATTTCTAGGTAGGCAGGCAGGCGTTAGTGTATATAAATAAAGGAGAAATTTAACAGCTTATATAAAGTAAAAAGGGGCTACTTAGGATCTATTATTACTAATACTTTAAGCGTAGAAGGTTAACTTTTTCTAGCGTTTTATGCTGCTAGCCTAGCATTACTAACCTGTTTAGTAGGCTAGCTAACTTGCTGCTGCTTTAAGCCCTAAGATAAAGAAGGTTAGCTTTTCCTAGCCTTATATACCTGTAGCCTAGTATTGCTGGCCTGTAGCCTAGCGTTACTAGGTGCACTAGTAGCTAGGCTAACCTGTAGTAGCTCTAAGCCCTAGAGCAAAGAAAATTAGCTTTCTTAAGCCTCTTAAGTTTATAGCCTAGTATTACTAGAAAAAGTAAGAGCCTTAGCAAATCTCTTTTTAGCACCCTAGTGCTGCATTGTTAGTGTTAATTTTTTTAATTTTTTAATGTTGCCTATTATAGTAAATAGGGAAATTAGAGGCTGTAATAAGCAACTAGAAAAATGCTATAAAAAAAAGTAAGAATGTTATAGTAAATAACTATAACAGGAGAGCAGGTTAGAGAGGAAATAAGTAAAAAGGCAGGTGTAAGTAGGCATATTATTATTTATACTAAAAAAACATGTTAAAATTAGCGTTCCTAACTAGGAAGTAGCTCTTACGCCTTTAGAGGCTATAGTTTACACAAGCGCAGTGCTATTTATATAAAACATGCAGCAATAAATGTTAGGAATTATAAGTTATACTATTACTAGTCTTAAAATTAATAATAGCTAGATAAGGTAGTTATAGGTCCTGCCACAGTGCAGGCATTCCTCCCTGCCTTAATAGTCTAGGTCTAGATAGTTTTCCTGCTTCCTTCTAACTTTGTTAAACACACTAATTATATAATAAATAATTATTATTAAATTAAATTTAAAACTTTAACCCTTATAATAACAAAGCTTTCTAATATTCTAGCCTCTATTATAAATAAAATACTATGCTTTACTCTATTAAAAAAAGTAACTACTATAGAGCTATATATTCTCTCTAATCTTATAGAGATTTTGTTAGAAGTTGTTAAAAAACATAGTACTATGCTTTTAAACTACATTAAAACTAAAGTTTTTTTAACATTATATTAAAAGCACCTTACTAACTTCCTTGTCTTGTCTAAGCTAAGTTTTAGTTAGTTAGACATAAAAAATAAGTAAAAAATATAACTTTTTATAATTCCTAAGACTTTAAGCTATTTATATAAAAGAGCTAGCACATTAAGCTATAGCTTCTTTTTAGTAAAATATAAGAAGAAGGGTTTAACCTCTGCAAAAATAGTAAGTTAGCAGTAATTTATTAGAGTTTATAACTACTTACTACCTATTTAGTAAGTTTTATAGAAGTTAAGTAAAAGTTTAAGTTTACCTTTTTCTTTAGCATAAATGTAGAAATTTTTAACTTTAATGTTTAAAACC